TGGCACGAATGAGCTCATCAACACCGTGAATCAGGACTAGTTTGGATTTCCATTATCAATATAAAATTTTGAACTTGGTAAATTAGCATATGATGAGAGTTATATTTGGAAATGCTACTCTGTATGGTGGCACAAAGGAACTCATCAACACCATAAGTAGGAACTATAGTTTTGGATTTCCATTACTGTATGGTGAATGTTGATTTGGAAATACAACTTTGTATGACTTATACACCCATGGAAATTATACCCTGTATGAACTAAACACACAAACTCATCAACAGGGGGGTGCAGATATAAACTGGAATGGCCCAATATGAAATTACGTGCAATACTTTCAATATAGCCATGTTAGCAGCACGCAGATATTATTTTTATATAGTTTTCATGTGTCAGTGTGTCTTAGGGTTGTACACTTTTTTGTAAATTATCTTCTTTTTTCAGTTTACATATTCCACATAGTTTTAGGAAAATGTCTCTTTTTATTGTACAAATTGGACGCATTGAAGTCACTAAGAATAAGTTGTTTGTCTAGGTTTTTAATAACAACATAAAATGTGAAATTTTTAATCTGGGATTGTCTACTTTAAAACAGAAGCTTAACTCTATTATTTTTTTAATTGTAATTTTGTTAACTATTGTATTTAACAAATGTGTCTACTAACACACTGGTTATTGGCCTTATATGGCTGTTGTGGTTGTACTGTGACAGTAGTTATAAATACAGCTGATGTAACTGCACACTCCATTGGACATATACAAGGTAACCGCAGGTCAAACACTCCATAACAATGTAGAACTCTGCACAATGGACTGTACCATTATACAGGGGGTGGCACACTGCCCATCCTGAATTAGACGTATACGACACACCCTATATTTATCTAAGCATTTTTTAAATCTTCTGTGAATGGAACACCAAGGAAGTCTGAACTAGAGTGTAAGCATATGTGAATAATTAAGTTTTCCACAAGATGTGATCAAGAACGGACGCACATTCCAAAATGGCTTCCAACATTTCAGCCGTGAAAGATCAGATCAGGGACGACATGCTGACCTGCAGTCTGTGCTTAGAAACTTTCAAGACTCCTAAAGTTCTACCATGTCTACACACCTTCTGTGAGCACTGTTTAGAATCATGGGTGGAAGAAAGCACTGGTAAGTTGACATGCCCATTATGTCGCTTTGAAGTACCTGACAATAATATCCAAGCATTACAAACAAACTTTATTTTAGTCGGGCTCAGCGATTATATATCAACAGTTAAAGATATCGCAAAACAAGATGGCCCATGCGGAGCTTGTGATCAAGGAACTGCAGTCACTCGATGTGTCGAATGCTCCCAAAATCTTTGTAAAACTTGTACAGATGTACACAGAAAATTAAAGGTCACCCAGGGTCACCAAGTTATGGATCTTCAGCACTATGTGTCGGAAGAGTTCACCGATGTTGAAATACTACAACCGACTGTATACTGCGATCAGCATGAACGCATCCCTATTGAGGTGTTCTGTAAGACCTGTCAGTTGGCGATGTGTACTAAGTGTGCGCTTATTGAACACCCACCACCTGAGCATAAACATCAACATTTAGAGCAAGCAGCTACAGAAGGCAAAGATCAATTACGTCCATTAATTGAACAACTAAAGAACACTATTGTCAATGCTGATGAGGAAATCAACAATCTTGGAAAAGAGATAACCAAACTGAAACACTGCTGTGAGAACACCGAAAAACAAATTGACCAGCACGTAATGAAAATCATTGATCACGTACTACGAAGACAATCAGAAGTGAAACAAGAACTGAATACCATTCTTAATCATGAAAAGGAACCACTAGAATCCAAGATGAAGGAGCTTGAGTTGACGAAAGCAAGGTTGGAGAGTGCTGCGGAATACGCAGAAAACCTAATGAAGTTTGCTAGTCCTTCTCAATGTTTGCTCTCACTCAGAGGTATAGTTGACCGAGTGAGTGACGTTTTGAGAACAGAAATCACAGACACTCCAAATCATGATCATGTCATTTGGTTCATTCCAAATAATATCATTATAAAAGAAAGCATTGGCTTGGTAACCCAAAACAAGTTGAGTCTGAACGTAGAGGGACTCAGAAAGGTCATCAACGCAGGACAGGACATGCTACTTGCAATCAAATTTAGAGCTGGAAATCCTGCCTTATGGGAGGACAACATAGAAGTGGAAGTTCAGAGGCCGGATGGAGAAACAGTAATGTTTCCTTTATACTCGCAAAGAAGGTCAGTAGTAAATGTGAACTTCAAACAAGAGGGCATGCATCTGTTAACAGTAAAGCACAGCACCCAGCTAGAGAATGAAAACTACCGGTACAAGCCATACGAGATTACAGTTATCCCAGCAGCAGGAAGTGTTTTTTGCATTGGCTCTAAATTTTCAGCACCACTATACTTGAAATCTCCCTGCGGAATCACGATCAATCACCAAGACAACTTGGTTATTGCTGACACAGACAATAACAGAATTCAAACCATAGATTGGAAAGGTAATTGTCTGTCATGGAAAACATTTAAAACATTCCCTAAACCATTCCAGCCTATCGATGTGAGCGTGTCAAAGGCTGGCAGACATTTTGTTACTGATACTGGCAACAAGCAAATAGTCGCATTTGATGACACAAACGATATGACCATATTTGGTCAAAATGAGGGCATTGATCCCTGTTCGGTGCAACTGTCCAATGATGGATGTGTTCTAATAACTGGCATACAGAAAGGTAAACACATCATCTCAAAATACGATGAGGATGGCAAACACATCATTGACACACGAAATAAAGGAACTAAAATTGGACAATTCCAGAATCCGTACTCCATCACAGTGAATAGCAAGAACCAGATACTCGTGTCCGATCTCGGAAATCATCGCATACTCCTCCTCGACGCCAACTTCAAATACCTGTCCTGTTTTGGGTCACGTGGAACGGGAGACGGAGAATTCAATTACCCACATGGAATTGATGTGGACGGCAATGATAATATCTACATCTGTGATCCTAACAACAGAAGAATATGTAAATATTCCCCTGATGGTAGATTTCTATGCCATATTGGTGAAGGGTGGGTTGACTTTCCAACTCGCATAGCTGTCAGTAAATTCTACCCGATTCAACTAGGAGTGATTGAAGGAAAGACAAATTCAATCAAAACATTTTACTTGTGAGGAAAATTTTAACTTAAATTGTGAGTTAGGGTACATGTGACAATGATTTTCTCAAACTTTTTGAGGCTGTTAATAACAGCAGGGATTTTGAAAATCTGCAAAATATAAATATGTCACTGTCATCATTTTTCAATTTACATAATACTGCCAGAGCTCAGTGAATCTTAATTATTCAGACCAAAGCATTGATGCAACTCATCTCTGACTCCTAACGAGTACCAATAATAAATTAAAGTACTACTAATATGATACATAATGTCATTCATACATACATGTTACTATAATTCAATTGTGGTTTATAGGATGTCCATGATTTGAGGATTTAAAGTCTCACAAAACGCTGGCCAAAAATGGTTGGAATAAACACTGCGAAATGTTTAATCTAGGACTTTAAAACAGAAGCTTAAGTCTATTATTTTCTAATTGTAATTTTGTTTACTGTTGTATTGTATTTAACAAATGTGTCTTCTAACACACCACTGTTATTGGCTGTAGTGGTCGTATTAAATAAATAAAATAAAATAATAAATAATTTAACAAGTTGATAATTTGCTATACTGAATTTGTTTTACCATGCTATGACAAGAATTATTTTATCCAGAATCTCAGGATATATTTCGTACTTACTTAAAATCCTTGAAATGTGCTCTTATCCATAAAATATCTGCATCAAGTTCATCTTCTACTAGTATAAACTTGGGATGTTTTAGATAGTCTGTGACTTGCTGCACATCAGTAAATACTTTGTAACAACCATCAGTACGGGGTGTTAATAAGCAATTATTGACATCATCATCTGTGGGAAACGTCTCACTGAATACACTCTAAAAAAAACAATGAAATAAGTCATGTCAACAAATATTATTGAAATATATTAACCTTTTTTTGTAAAAATTCAACATTACACACTTCTTTGTGTTTAACGCATATCCGAAGCAAATTGAAAGCAGCAATGCATGATGGGATTTATTGTAGTGAAGACAAATAATAATAACTTAGTGGATAAATTGTGCAATGTAATTTGGTCAGCATAACTCACGAATGTAGTACATTTCAGATTTGATTTTTTCTCAAGTTACTGAGGAGAGAAAAGACTTTTGATCAAACAAATTTACCAAATTTAAGACACGTAGTAAGAACGATCTTTGTGAAATTAGTGTGATTTATTCATTCAGATTTCAGAAACGACACTAAATAAATGGGAGCCTGGATCTGATCCTAGAATCTACATATGTACCATGGATTAAGAATCAGTTCATATTAATTTGACTTTACTCACGCCAAAATATGACAAGTCTGGTTCAACTTGCTCTGTGTCGATATCTGTCAAATTGGTATGTTTCCATGGCAGCAGAGCTATTTTTCTCTTCAGTGGGTCTTTGATATTAACTGCATAATCCCGGGTTATCTCATCTGCAATGCAAAATTAATAAATTTGTCATAATACTGTAAATATTTTATTTTCGATTAAAATTACTTTTTGCTGAAGGGATGAAACAGTGAAAATAAAATACGGTGAACATACTACATGTATTTACCTATACTTTACAAAACGCTCAAAAAGTCTATTCAGCAAAAATTAATCCCAGCTATAATTAAGTATTTTATTTTGTATGCTTTATCATTAAAATACCTGATTTTGTATTAATTATTTTGACAGTAAATACACTTGTCATTCACATGCAATTCTCAAAGATGGGGACAGATTATCGTGAAGAAAAACGGGTGTTAATCCAGAAAACCTAGTCTCTTCTTGGTCTTGGTAATGTTTGTGAGATCATGACGTAGCCCTGGTCTTTGACATATCACGCCTTTCCCTTTAAAACTGGCTTGGGAACTAAAAATGGCTCTCCATAGAACGCAGTCATTAGAGTGATTAAGGGAACTACCAGTATGCCATTAAAAACATTTCAATATTGTATTTACAATTGACAGATTATGGGTCCGGATTCAGGTGAGTGAAGTCATCAACATAGAAAGAATGGCATGACATATGACGTATGTTACAGAGGAAATAAAGTAGTTGCAGTAAATAAACCACTGGTGATGTACATAAAACTTGTACAGTACTAATGATATTCTACGATGGTGTGCAAAAATGGTTCAACAATAGTAACCACCAAAAAGTAAACAGATATGTGTAATTACAATACAATACAATACAATTTTATTTCACCAGATAAATTACATTACAAAGTACAAAACGAAGATAGAGATATACATAACTATCTGGCGAGGACAAGAGAGGTAGTTCTAGTAGAACTAATCTAGTCTCTAGCCCTTGCATATTCACTGATAGCAGAAAAAAACTGATAAGGACAGTGAAATCATAAATCATATTAATATATTGTTTAAGAGTACATAATACATAAGGAGAAAAATTATATGAAATATGGTGGTAATAGTGAAATGACAATACTGTAAATTGAATGATAGAGAAATAACAATAAAATTGATGTTCAATTATTTAAAAGAAATTGTTTTAGGGTAAGCTTGAAGCGATTTCTTGATGTTAATGTTTTAATGGAAATTGGAAGATCATTCCAGTGTTTTACTAATGAATATGTTAAACTGTTTTTAGTTGAGCTTAGTTTTACTTTTGGAATTTCAAGTTTGTCAGAAATAAGTGAACGTGTCAAATAAGAGTGAGAGATTGAAGAGGCATAATGATCCAGAGAACAAGCATAATGATCGCCCTTCAGGTCATAAATAAACATGCACGTTTGGAACTTGCATAATTTATGCACATCAAGAATGCCCAATCTTTTAAAGAGTTGTGAGCTACTTGCACGGGGATTTGAAAAAGTGGCTACTTATTTGAACTGTAAACTTGTACTTGTTAATTAATTACCGGTAATGACTGTTACATACCATATTGCTCTATTAAAAGGGCATCTCCAACAGAAAAGAAAAAAATATCTCTGTTTCTTGTTTCCATGCGCATCATTTTTTTTCCTTCTAAAGCATTCCAAAATGCGCTCGTACTCGCACTTGTCTCAAATTTCATTTATTGTAATTAAAATAGGACTTATTTTGACCATGGACACATCTTAACATATGCGACACCAGTAGAATAAATATAGTACTCATTGACAGGCAGATCGCCGCAAACCAACCGATCTGACACATACCGCACGTGAAACAATGGGAAAAGTGGTCAGAATTAGGCGAGGGTTCTCCGAACCCGCCTATTCACATAGTTCATACCCACCATAGACTCCGGTCAGTCAAAATGACTATTTTGAACTGTAGGCATTAATCAGCGATTCTGCCGGTGACGGAGAGATAGAATGTAGGTCAGGGGAAGCCCCATGACGTCAAGATTCTTTTACCCCCCTTACGTCACGAACCCATGTGACTGAGGCCACATGGCAACGCCATCGGTAGCCGTCCATCACTCTGGTTCCTTTCTTTCCGCCTCGAGGACTTAGACCAACGCGACGGAAATAGTGGGGAGGTTGGGGGGGACCTGCAGTCTATGGTGGGTATGAACTATGTGAATAGGCGGGTTCGGAGAACCCTCGCCTAAATTCACTACGTTCAATTACCCACCATATACTCCGGTCAGTCAAAATGACTATTTTGAACTGTAGGCAGAGTCAGACACCGACAGGTGGCAGGTTTTTCCGAGCAAACAGAAAAAAAAGGAATGATGAAAGACTTTTCCCCAGTCCGGAATGAAAAACAAACCCAAAAACCTAAGTTAAGACCCAAAAAAGGTGGTGTCTTACCTTGCCTGTGCTGTCCCCGAAGCAAGAAGCCAATGCTGCTGTGGTGACAGAGTTCGGTGTGCCCGAGAAAGCTAGACCCAAGCCGAATTCGAGGGTGATAAGCTTGAAGTAGGACCGAAACAGTTCGCATGAGGGCGTAGGTCGACAGAAGCGAAACCTGGGAGGTTCC